ATGATATTTAAATTTTTTTTTTTTTCATTTTTTTCTTTCTTGAAAAGGGCACAGAGCAAATTGAAAAGAGCCTTTTTAGAAAAACATGGTTAGATCTTGCAAAACAATGATTCATCTTTCTTGCCAGAAACTCCCACCTTTTGTAGGAAAAATTTCAAAAGAAATAATCTTCTTCATGATTTTGCTAGAATGCACACCTGGATTTTTCAACTAGCTCCATTCCAAATGTTAATGGTGACCTGTAAATTTTTCTTTTGTCTGAAAAAAAAAAAAAGACTTTTTAAAAAAGGAAGCTACGGTTATTTGTATGGGAAGAGAAACTTCCAATAAATGTCTGCACACTAATTTATCAACAAAAGCCATACAAAAATCAACACTAGACATATTCAGGCTAGAGAAAAGGCACAGGTGTTTCTCACTAGGTGGGAATAACAGTTGGAACTGTTGCTGCTGGGCAGGGCAGACTCTTGATAATTTAAAGTATTTAATTCAAGTCTGGAGGCTTCTCAGAAAGGCCTTCTCATCTCTCAAATTGTGGTTAGAGACTTGGTGCTCAATGCATTGAGTCAAGTTCTCTGACAGCTCTTCTGCCTCAGCTCAGGCACTTTCTGGAGTGGTTCCTGCATTCCTCTCCTTCTTCTGTGACCCCAAAAGAGAGAAGGCTGCATAAAACCCCTCAGAAATGACAAGCCTAGTGTGAGGGAGAGGTGAAGGCTGATGTGAAGACATCTGCTGCAGAGGTACTGGGGGTCCCAGGGGATTTTGGCTAAGGGTTTGCATAATGGATACCCAACCACATGGTCACAGCTTCCTCTGTGTGAAGTTGGATAGCAGAGGTTTGATAGGATTTAGGAGTGCATGACTTAATTGCCTGATATAGTTTAGTATTTTTGCAAAGTCATTTTGAACTGTGATGGGAAATGGAATAGGAGCCAGGCTGCCTGACAGAGTCCTGATGGAATAGAATGGCTTCCATGAGGGGTTCAGTCCTTCCCATGGATGGTCTTCTACAATTTTTCCAGTAGAGCTGTTGACCTCTTATACTAGATGCAAGCCTACAGAGAGGTGACCTTGCTCTTCTGGGTCAAGGATCCCACAGGAATGGTCCCTGGACCCTTAAAGGTGTGCTGTCCACAGGTGGAAAAACAATGCTGTATAAGGAGGGCTGCATAATGGCTCGAACACTAACCTCACATTTGGAAGATTCATGTTAAGTATCTGAGACGTAAAGCTTGCTGAACCTATTCTTGCAGGATCCCCAAATCCCTGCCCTTCCAATAAAAGCCCTTTATGACTCTGGTTTCTCAGCAAGTAATTGCTTTCTACAAAAGAAGGTGCTTAGTGCTGCAAGTGACATTGGTGCACAGGTGCAATGCCTATGTACGTAATAAATAAATATTGCTAGAAGACAGGAATTCCGGTCCATACAAAAGTGAGGTTTCCCACTGATCTTGTACCTGAATCCAACTGATCGATTTTCTGGGGGGTTGTGTGTGCGTTTTCTTTGCAAAGAGGAAGCGTGAGAGAAAGCAAGAAGACTCTCCTAGGTGAAATATGAAAGAACAAGCCATGTCCCGTTATTTATTATGGACAGGTTGCTTGTCTATCCTCAATGATCCAGCTGCTGAGAATTCACCTGACACTCTGACTTTGATATCTGCCATGAACTTGAAAATATTTGGGTTAGGACTCACCAGATTTTCCTGTGAAGATAACATTGCACTGAAAAATTGTCATGAATCTTAGTCATCTATGTCCTGAGTAAGTGCCTATAAACCACCTGAGAAGTAACAAACATATACACAAATCCCTAAGAGCTGCCATCATCTTTAATCTAGCTCCATTCATTTCCCTGGAGTTACCCAGAAGACACATCTGATTCCAAAATCATGCTGATGAGTGGGTGGGTTGATGAGTTGAGGAGTGGGGTGGCTCAGGAAAGTTTCCCAGATCTCTGCTGGCCTTTATGCAAGAGGAAAATGTTACCTCTTTGGCCTTGACTGCATTCTCACTTATACTGGTGTGATTGGAGAGGAGTGTCCCTGAGTCAGGTTTATACCTGAGTTACATGGGCGCAAGCAAGAGAAGGATTGGGCAAACTGTGCCTAAAGCCCCAGTGGATTTGAGAGCCTTCTCCAGCAGCTTAGGTAGCTTTTCTTTCTATCATTAGCAACACAGTCCTGATTAACCCTCCAAGCTGTGGTCAGTCATTTTGAGGACAGTTTGACTGACAGCATGTAGCCTGCTAATGCTTTTCCCTTCATTGTTCGGTGCATTAGATCCTGGAGGTGGTTGGTTGGCTGTGCTGGGTTTTTTTTTTTTTAATTTTTAATGATTTTGTTGATTTATTTCTAATCTCTTGGATATTCTATGAGAAAAAGTCATCTTGAGCAAGAGGCATGAAGTATTTCAGCGTAAGTACAAAAATATGCATTGAGACTCCTCCCTTATGTATCTATAAAAAGATGTATTTGGGCAAGATGACCATTTTCGTTGCCTTGCCAGATACACAGCAGAATCCCCTTCCCATTCTGAAACTTCAAATGGACAATACAGAACTTCTCTCTGTGGGAGCTGTTTGTATTTCATGCAAGATTTTTGTGGCAGGCTCTTTCTTTATGTTATACACTGCTTCATAAGAGCAGATCTGACAGATCATCTAGGCTTGGGTGGATAACCAAGACTACCACCCAAAATTTAAGGGACAGTGTTCCTTTACATTGGTGATCCCTTAACGGTGTTGTGAAATTATTTCCAAAGAAAATCGGCATTCGGAAAGTATATTATGATTTGTCCTGTATTTTAATTTTTTATACTTCTTTCAATATGATCTAACAGCTTGAAAAAAGTAGAAGAAATCCTTGGGAAGCAGTTAAATTTCTGGGAGTGCAGCCAGTATATGGTGGACCACCATTTATCCAGGGACTACAATTTGGATAATGGGTTTGTTTGGAAATTATGCTGCCTATGTTTGAAAGCTCTAATGTGGGACTCATGGAGAAGAAGTTAGAGCCACCTTTCTGAAAGCTGTTGAAAAATAGAGAAATGAGATATTTTTTTTCCCTGGAAGATAGAGTGATGGATTGACCTTTAACTGGGAAATAAATAAGTGAATAATTGCTTGGTGAAATATGTACATGGAAAGAATAAATCATACTGAAATCTTTGTCAGTGTGCATGGATATAAAAAAGCAGAGATTTGTCAAAATAATCATCTTTCAAATGGTGCCTAATGTCTTTTCTCACCTAGCCGAGGTTAAACTTCCATTTATTGCAGGAGTGAATTTGCTGTAATACAAAGTGCACAAATATTTCACCTGAGAGTAGCATAGTAAGAAAATAATGGTTTTGTTCTCAAATGTGGAGAAAATCAGCATTTACAGCTTTTTGAATGCTGCTCCTCTGCAAACAGTGACAAAATTCCCATTAATTACCATGGTCACCAGACTGGTCTCCAAAGAATAATTTGTGAGTAGCATGACTATTTTCTTGAAACTAGAACTTTATGCAGCTGCTGCAAGAAACGTAACCAGGAGCAAACTGAAGGAAACATGTCACTAGAAATACATTTATTGTTTTCTAACTCATTTATGAACACTAAAAAAATGTCTTTCTTGTGAGAGATTTATTTGAAGTTGCCATAGAAAACTGCTATCAACTAAGAACATAATTTGGGAAGTAAACTGGATGTAGTTGCTTGTAGCCAGAACCACCTTACACAAGGTACAAGACAAGCTACTGTATTCCCTACGAATAATTCAAGTGGTTTCCTGCCTATATGTGAGCAGTAACTTCTGATCAGAAGATGACATCTCTAAATGCTATTTTGAGAATGTCCACTTAAGTTTGAGTCATTAACTCAAAGTGAACTGTGAAATCACTGCTCATATTCATGAAATAGTCATTTGTCACACTCATTACAGCCTATATTTTAGCAGTCACAAATAGTGTTAATATTTTTTTCCATGTCAAAATCAAAGCATCTTCTTTTTTGGCATAGTAGTTTTATTCAATGTGAGGTCTGAATTTTTTAGTGATTGATTTCCAAGACAGTGCATTTGATAAGTGCGAGCAAGAAGAGTAGAGTCCATCTCTTCCACTTGTCTCCATCATGGCAAAGACATGGAAAACAGTTGGGTTCCAAAAGGCGGGGCTCAACCTCCAGACTTAAACACCAAAGTCAGTTTAGCTTTAGAAGTGAATAACACCAGCTGCTGAGACACAAATTGGGCAGATCGTTCTCCTCAAGTCTGTGCTTACCAGGCTGATTTAAAATTTTCCCACTGTTTAGCAGAAACAACTTTTGTAGACCTATTTGAGGTCTTGCGATATTTCTTACTGTTATTTGTTTGCATAACTGCCATGGATTTTCGTCCAGATCTTGCCTTAGCACACTATGGCATGACCACAAGTGGCTGTTCTGAAACCAGGCTACTCTGCCCCTCGGTGCACTCAGGAGTGGTTGTGTGCCACAACGTGCAATCTCTACATGAACAAATTCAGTTTTGTTTTGTTTTTTGTTATGCGCCAGTTCACGGGGTTGAAGGGTTACAGGAGAATCTCAGCTCTCTTCTTGTAAAAATAAAACTGGCTCTGACAGTTTCAGGGAAAACCTCAAAAATATAAGCAAGGAAGACACAAAACTCAAAAGGTCAACAATACGCAAATATCAGGTTTTGTGGGTTTTGCTTGGGGTCTGACTCATGCTTTTTTGTGCCCCAGGGGCAACTAACCCTGCCTGATTTCTCATTGGCATCTGCAGGACAAGGATGGTTTAACTGTAAGGAACAGCACTTCCTGCTGTGTTACCTCCTATCTACCTGAGCCATTGTGTTTCTAACTCCATGTTGGTACAATCTGTTCTTCATCAAGTACAGATAGTAAAAATGTTGTGAGGAAAACAAACTTTGCCACCACGCTAGTCAGGCACTGATTCTGCATGACTCAAACAAACCTTACTCTGTTTTTGCTTCTCTTGTAGTTACCTTTAAGCAAGAGGGATGACTCAGGTGCCTGCTGACTACCTGTCAACTACCAGCTCCTACAATTATGAGCAGCCCCTTCCCTCCGTGGCTCGGACAAGCACTGTCACCAAGGTACCCACAGCCAAAAAAATAACCTTCTTCAAGAGTGGAGATCCTCAGTTTGCGGGAGTCAAGATGGCCATCAACCAGCGAAGCTTCAAGAGCTTCAATGCACTCATGGATGACCTCTCTCATCGGGTCCCACTGCCATTTGGGGTAAGGACCATCACCACCCCACGAGGAATACATTGCATCAGTGAGCTGGACCAGCTGGAGGATGGAGGATGCTACCTTTGCTCCGACAAGAAATATGTCAAACCTATTAGCATTGCTTCTGGGGGACACAGGCCAGGCCCTCCGCGAAGTGGTCGTCCCTCCAGCACCTTGAGAAGAGCAGCTCAGGAGGCCAAACTTGAAGATTATGCCACACCTTTCACTCAGCACGGCCCCAGAATACCCAAGAAAATCACTCTAGTTAAGAATGGAGAAAGTGGCGTTCGACGCTCAATTATCTTGAACCGCAGAAATGCCAGGAGTTTCAAAACGCTCCTGGATGAGATTTCAGAGATCCTGCAGTTCCCAGTGAAGAAGCTGTACACTGTTGATGGGAAGAAGGCAAGTATCTCTGATGTCTGATGCTGGTCAGTTATTCTAACAGGTGTTACCACATCAGTGTTTGCATTCCCTTTGACGCAAATCCTTTGGCTCATGGGGCCAATAGTTTACTCACATTACCTTAATCCTTTGGGCTTGTGTAGTTGGTGTCACATTAATTACTTCCACATTAATTACATGAAGGGGCGATGTAGAAGAATCTTGTTCAGCCATTCAAGAACCTCATGCATCAGATACTGTTTTGGGTCAATGGGAGGCAACTTCTGACAGAAGTGCAGAAGCAAAATGTTTTGCAGCTGGGTATAAAACCCTAAATTAACCTGTAATAATGGAGTTTCCCACCCTGTCCTGCGAGGCATGTCCCATCAGAGGCTTAACTTTTCTTTACCTAACAACCAGGAATTCAACAGAATAAGACAGGCCTCGGGTAGCACCTTGCAGTTGCACAGTTCCTAACAGAACAGGGTCCTGCTCATGATGTGGGATCCTCAGCATCGTGGTAATGTAACTAATAAATGCATAAGTAATGAGGGTACAAGTGGAGACACATTTGTATCGATGATTTGGCGAATGTGCTGATTGGGGTGGACTCCTATAATAAATTCAGGGTGTGACAACTCCTTTGTTCTTCTGTTCCCAAAGGAATTTTCTGACAAACCTGAGATTCTCCTGATTTCTTCTCCATCTCTTTGTAACGTAGACTAACCTGTACTTCCATTTCTTCTGAAGAAGTCTCACATGTTAGTCTGACTTGTCCCTGGCAATGCAGCCAAGGGGAGCAGTTACCCTGCTCCTTGCCACATTCTCCACCTTCACAATGCTGTGTGTCAGCTCCTCGGTGGTAATTTTACAACCATTTGTGGTATCACTTTCTGAATCAGACAACTGAAATGATTTGGGTTCAAATGACCCCACTATCCAGGAGGGGTGGAAAAAAAAGGAGGAATATTTCTAATGCAGATTATTTTGACGTGGCACAGGGACAGGAGCGTGCAGCTGTGAAGGAGAGTGGAATGGGTTAATGGTGCCTTAAGCCAGCTTTCCTGGTGGAGGCAACACATTATATCACACTGTTTTCTGCTATTCCCACCATTCTGGAAAGATCTTCCTGTTCTCAGCAGGAGGATCCAAGGAAAACGTCCTTGCTGGACATCCTACTACTACAGCTTTCCCAATCCTACTGATCTAGGGGCTAAAAGAGTAGCAGCCTGGCTGCAGTCAGAGAAGAGATGAAATGCCAGGGAAAGGATGGTGCCACTCCGCATCTTCCAGACCAGTGAAACTGCAATCTCGCTGAGAAACTGAAGTGCCTGCAGAAACCAAAGATTTATGAAAGGGGACTCAGGAGCAAGAGACAGAATTTAGCTGTGGACAACCCAAGCATGGCCTAGGAAAAGCAAAATAGATAATCTCATAGAATCATAGAATACTTTGGGTTGGAACGGACCTTTAAAGGCCATCTAGTCCAACCCCCTGCCATGGGCAGGGACATCTTCCACTAGATCGGGTTGCTCAGAGCCCCATCCAACCAGGCCTGGAATGTCTCCAGGGATGGGGCAGCCACCACCTCTCTGGGCAACCTGGGACAGGGTTTCACCACCCCCAGTGTAAACAGTTTCTTCCTTATAGCTACTCTGAATCTCCCCTCTTTTAGCTTAAAGCCATTATCCCTTGTCCTATTACAACAGGCCCAGCTAAAAAGTTTGTCCGCATCTTTCCTCTAGGCCCTCTTTAAGTAAAGGAAGACCACCGTAAGGTCTCCATGGAGCCTTCTCTTCTCCAGGCTGAACAACCCCAACTCTCTCAGCCTGTCCTAATACTTTACGGCCTAGGAATCAGTTGTCTGAGTCCAAGATGAGCAAGCTGGCCACCCTACTCTGGAATTCATCTTTTCCCAGTGTGTCTAGAGTCTATGGTACTCCTAATGGGAGAGTAGAAAAAAATGGCTTGCTTGTAGGCAACTGCATGGTAGGCAAGATGAATCCCATGCTCTAGGGTATTTCAGCAGTCAATGGAAAGAAACAGGCACTTAAGAGAGCTACTTTGCAAGAAACTGTCTAAATTACTGCAGATATCAGGAGCTGGATTAATTTCAGATTCAGCTACCTGAATCATAGAATCATAGAATGGTTTGGGTTGGAAGGGACCTTTAAAGACCATCTAGTCCAACTCTCCCTGCCATGGGCAGAGACATCTTCAACTAGAACAGGTTGCTCAGAGCCCCGTCCAACATTTAAAATATCAGCGTCTAAATGTTTCTATAAGTGAGGTAAGTGGCTAAGCTCCCATACAGCTGTTGAGACTAAGCTGACAGTCCACTGAACTTGGAGTTGGCCAAAGATAGGTGTCTAGAGGCCTTCTGAATCAGTCAGGTTCTTTTTCTCTAGCTTCTATCAATTTATTTGCAAGGTGTACCACAGCTACCACTATACTACTAAATTAAAAAGTGTTAGAGCGGGATCTCATCCCTCTCTTTTCCATTCTGCTAAATTCTTAACATCTTCCCTGGCTTGGTCTTGGCTCAGAGTCTCCCAAAATTTTAGATTTAGGGCCTGGGACCATTCACTATAGGTGGTTTGAGTGTGGCCAGCCTGTGTCTGAGCAGCTAAGATGCCTCAGCTGACCTCTACTCTGAAGAACAGGGTCTGGGACTGCTTGCTTTACTACTACGAATGTAGCCAACTCAAATTAGGAAAAGAAAAAAAAAAAAAAACAACAACAAATTCAGCCCAGCTGCCAAGATGTGTTACAATCTATGTATAAGTATTTCATTTTGTCACTGATGTCTCCAGTTTTCAAGTCTCAGACTCCTGTTCAGTCCACATGGAGATAATAAACTTGTGTTGTGGTAGTAACTTCCTCTTCACTTCTTCCATTTTGGAGATTTTTCACCCTTTTCACTAAAGAAAAGATTTGCCTTCTACTTCTTAGTGCAGTCTTGATATTCTCCTTGTGATTCTTAAATGAGTTTCCCACAATTTTCCTTCTAGTCATTACAAACAGCGATATTTTAGCTGACATGTACAATAAACACATGCTCAGTAAACACAGTGTCTTCACTATTATTCAACATCCATCTTGCTTTCCATCTAAAGACATGCGGTTGTCTTTTACATTTTCAGCTCTGCAGTGGTGATCATCCTGCCTAAAGGTCTCTATTCTCCCAGAGCTGGATCTCATCCCAACATGCCAAGACATGCCAGGACATGGCTAGAATGACACGGGTACTAACTGACCAGAGGTGGTCACTGTGGTATTTGAAGCTGATGGCACCTACTTAAGTTTTACACGCTAACATCGTTGCTGACAGTTTGAGTGACAAGCTATGTAGGTCTCTTCAGCAGACAATGTGTCAATAGCTTTGTCGCTTGTTTTGCATCCCCACTCCCAATTTAGCCTTTGTTTCTGGAATGGTTCAGCCCAAGCTGCACATGAACATCACTTCAAGAGATATCGATGCTCTTTGTTGCAGCTAGATTTTCTCCTCTGGCATGCCATAGAGCTTAAGATTATCCTCTATGTGTGATATTTTCTACAATAAATCCCAGGGGTCCCATAGAGTCCTTTTCTCCCCTGCCTTCTTTCATCCATGTTTTCCATCTGCAGAAATGGGTGTGGATGTGGGTGTGGATCAAACACCATCATGTAATCTGTACACAGTCCCTTGGGATACTTTTCATTACCATTAAGTTTGTATTACCATCTTGTCAATAGGCAGTTCATCTTCTGAACCTTATTAATTTAATTTGCACTCCTTTTATTCTTGTGTAGAATACCGCAGTGATAGGTGACTGTGGGTCCAACCTAATCAATGTGATCAGCTTACACATAGCTTGGAAATATAAGATTATTAATATCTTTTCTGGGGAATCTTTTAAAGTGATTTTTTGGTCATTCATAATTTGAATCATTTACCTCTTGCTTTTTAATTGTTCAGTACTGCTCATTCAATGGTCGTTCCTATTAGGACTTCCTGGAGCTGTCACGCTAGTCTCAGGTGCAAAGCATTTAAACCACAGGAAAATTCACTCTGTCTTGGACTTTCCAATCTTTTCCTTTCATAGGGATTCTCTAAACCATTTCTGCTCTTCTGTCTAAGTCTTCTTGTCATACCTCATATTCAAGATCTCTGTTCCCCGTACACAATTCGTTGTGTCCCAGTTTTCACCAGATACTAATGGTTTCTTCAAGGAGTGAAAATGGTGAGTTTGTCACATAATTGGGGGGATTTCCTGAAATAACCCACTTCAACTGGTGCTGAAGATTAATTTTGACTGATTTTATTTTTGATCTTGCCTTTATACTTGTATTTGTATGTTAGAGACAATGAAAACATGCCTCCATTCTTCCATGACTATTCAAAGGTGTCTGGATGCTTCATATTTCTTGGGTATTTCCTTGTTTCTTATATTATCCTCTTTGATTTGTATTTCAAATTGTCTTTTAATAATTTTGTTGACCTCTTTTATCGCATGTCTATGTCTAGCCCTATTACAGAGCCACTCTTTCTTGGGAAGGGGGCTGGGAGTGGGAGGAACCGTAACTTTTGACACGTGTTCCCAAGATTTGACAGATTAGCTCAATAACAGTAAGATTCATTCCTAAGCAAGATATCTGGACTACTGCATGATTAACTTTGTGTTTGTCCCATTCAGAATAAAGTAATCCACAGCATTTAAAAGCAAGTTCACCATGTCACTTTTGCTGGCAGTTTTTCCTTGATCTCTTGAAAACTGAACACAAAAAAAGGGAAAATCTCTCCTATACATGAATCTGTATCTTCCATCAATGAAAGTGCTATTCATAGGCCTGAGAGTGTTGCCCCTTCAGTCTGCTTTTGTTTTCCTCTATACTGTAACTCTAGATCTAAACTGGAATCTTGAGTTTAACCATCCCTGCAACATAATGTATGATTGGCATATGTTGCCCCAGTGGCTCTATTTTAATTTCTTTACCATTTTCTTGAGTAAATCCAGAACACTTCAATATTACATGTCTTT